CCGACTTCTCAGGTTAACAGATTGCCTTTCATATTACCACAACGACTTCTCATTTAAACAGATCGCCTTTCATATAACCACAACGACTTCTCAGGTTAAAAGATCACCTTACATATTACCACAACGACTTCTCAGGTTAACAGATTGCCTTTCATATTACCTCACCGACTTTTCAGGTTAACAGATCGCCTTTCATATTACCACACAAACTTCTCAGGTTAACAGATTGCCTTTCATATTACCACAACGACTTCTCAGGTTAACAGATTGCCTTTCATATTACCTCACCGACTTTTCAGGTTAACAGATCGCCTTTCATATTACCACAACGACTTCTCAGGTTAACAGATTGCCTTTCATATTACCACAACGACTTCTCAGGTAAACAGATCGCCTTTCATATAACCACAATGACTTCTCAGGTTAAAAGATCACCTTACATATTACCACAACGACTTCTCAGGTTAACAGATTGCCTTTCATATTACCACAACGACTTCTCATTTAAACAGATCGCCTTTCATATAACCACAACGACTTCTCAGGTTAAAAGATCACCTTACATATTACCACAACGACTTCTCAGGTTAACAGATTGCCCTTCATATTACCTCACCGACTTTTCAGGTTAACAGATCGCTTTCATATTACCACACCGACTTCTCAGGTTAACAGATTGCCTTTCATATTACCTCACCGACTTCTCAGGTTAACAGATCACCTTTCATATTACCACAACGACTTCTCAGGTTAACAGATCACCTTTCATATTACCACACCGACTTCTCAGGTTAACAGATCACCTTTCATATTACCACACCGACTTTCAGGATAACAAATCACCTTTCATATTACCTCACCGACTTCCCAGGTTACCAGACTGACTTCCCAGGTTACCAGACTAACTTCCCAGGTTACCAGACTAACTTCCCTGGTTACCAGGTTGACTTCCCAGGTACCAGATCACCTCTCGCACTACCAGACTGACTTCCCAGGTTACCAGATCACCTCTCGCACCACCAGACTGACTTCCCAGGTTACCAGACTGACTTCCCAGGTTACCAAACTGACTTCCCAGGTTACCAGACTGACTTCCCAGGTTACCAGACTGACCTCCCAGGTTACCAGACTGAACCTCGCCACACAGAACATTAAGGTCTGTTTCGATGATGCTATTCTAATCTGCATACAGTAAGCAGTAAGCACAAGCAGTAGCAACTTTCTCTGAAATGTGATCATTCATAGCTGGAACACTTGCGATGGCCTAACTGAGGCAGACTACAATCATTGCCATCTGTAGGTTTGTTTCATCGAACCCTATTCATGATAGGGCTGTAACAAAACACTTTGTTGCAAAATGAATACACATACTAATATAGATTTCCCAACAGGTCTTTATCAGAGGGCTATTTCTATTATGAGTGTATTTCAATGTATCTAACAAGTACTACATTCTCCTACCCAGAGTTCCATGCGGCCAGCATAGTACCTCTGCCACAGGCCAGCGCCATGTGACGATTCATCACATCTTACACAGTCCATTCAAGATATTGCATATGTTTTTCATCTGTTTGATTTTTCACAAGTCTACATATATAGAAAAACATAGATGGTTAACTTTCATTGTGAAAATATTCTAAAACGTGAAAAACTATTTCCATTTGCGTAGTAATCCTTGTTTACATATATATTGTGATGCACCTCACTGTTGCTGTTGTAGTAGCATATCTATATAATTATGCTAAACAATATGTAAAGTGCTCCGAAAGAAGTGCATTAGGCCAGTCTGTTCTGATTTCAGAAAAATCACGTTTGTTTACAAACAAGAGAAAAGTCTGGTCACTTGATATGCAAATTAGCCTATGGCAGTTATGCTTAGTGAGTGAGTGAGTGAGTATGGTTTTACGCCGCTTTTAGCAATATTCCAGCAATATCACGGCGGGGGACACCAGAAATGGGCTTCACACATTGTACCCATGTCGGGAATCGAACCCGGGTCTCCGACGTGACGAGCGAACGCTTTAACCACTAGGCTACCCGACTGCCCCAGTTATGCTCAGTCCCCACTGCGCCAGGGTGTGACAAGTGCTACTGATGCCACCATTCAAATGACAAGCTGTTGAACAAATAGTTCCGTCAGCATGAGATGTTATTACAAAATGCATAACACAGCTATTTTTTATTAAACAGTGTACCATCAAAGAGTGGATAATGAAGCATAGTGACAACACCTATCATGTTACGGAGTCCATTCTATCAATTGCACCAATTTAGAGACACGACTCAAACATTGTCTGTAAACTTGGCACATACGCATAGAAAGCCACTTGTTGCAAAAACATCATTGTACCAAATAACAAGGGCTCCTAATGTAGACATGTATAAACTCATACTGTGGCGCAAAGTATTGCAATGCCCCGAATATTCAGTGAATCTCTACAGCTCTCATTCATGACTAGCGGTGACTATTCAGGCTAATTTCACTGTTACGAAAATATTGCAATAGTACTCCAACTTGCAATAGTACTGCGATAGTATGATTCCAACTTTAAGGCTTGATAATTATATCAGTCAATGTAATAGAAATGAATAAAGTATTGCTGACAAACTCAAGGTCGGCCATTTTCCTCCCTGTCACTACTTAAACCAAAGGGAAGTAACTCTAATCAACACATGGCAGGTCTGAAATGCATATGTAAAAAATTTTTCTGAGGCAAGTTTTGTTTCACTTATAACTAATTGCGAATATTAAAACTATTGATTGTCATGCATACTATTGGCAATACAATGGGTGCTCTTTCTAACAATATCGTACAATCGTAGGGCAAACAATTACAATACATCGATAGTTTGATACATTGTTACACTCCTATTCATGACTGCATCTACTTCCACTACATATGCAAGGCATGCAAGATACACTAGTCAAAGTTCTTGTCATGCTGTGATGGTATCAACTCAGGCCACAGTTAACCACTCCGAGAAGGGAAGTGGTGCTGACCAAGGATCATAATCAGGGCAAATCTTGGACTTAAACCAAATATCAACTACATATCCTGCCACTTCTTAGGGATGCAACTCTGCAAAGTGATTTCAGGTGCTTAAGATCACTTGACACCAATCACCTTACAATATGTACAGTGCAAAGAGATGTACTGAAGAGTGAGTGAGTGAAGTGAGTGAATAGCGTTTTATGCCATAACCACTATATCATGGCAGCCTTCAAGTAAATAAGCTTGGACAAGACAAACTAGTGGTCAATAGTATGAACATGTCATGTGTCATACAATCTGCTGTGTCAGCATGGTTGGAACCATGGAGGTCACCATCCACACACCATCTGATACCAGTCATATTCATCTCATACCATGAGTACTGGGGACGGATTCTTCCCCTGATTCCCCATGTGCGATGTCAGCCAATTTGGCAGGAAAACCCATCATGACACAGGTCACTGACATTTACCCCTTTGGTGAGTGAGTGAGTGAGGTTTTACGCTGCTTTTAGCAATATTCCAGCAATATCACGGCGGGGGACACCAGAAATGGGCTTCACACATTGTACCCATGTGAGGAATCGATCCTTGGTCTTTGGCATGACAAGCAACACTTTAACCACTAGACTCCCCCACCACCCCACCACCCCACCCCTTTGGTGAAACCATTGAGCAAGAGTAATAAGGCCAAAAATCATTACTACCAAGAATCGAGGATTCGAACCCATTACCAGCAGATCCACGGAGCTAAGGGACACAACTCACTACTCTAGCTGGCAAAGAATCAGGGATTTGAACCCAGTACCAGCAGATCCTTGGAGCTGAGGGACACGTCACTACTCTGGCAAAGAATCGGGGATTCGAACCCAGTACCAGCAGATCCTTGGAGCTAAGGGACACAACTCACTACTCTAGCTGGCAAAGAATCAGGGATTCGAACCCAGTACCAGCAGATCCTTGGAGCTGAGGGTTACAACTCACTACTCTGGCAAAGAATCGGGGATTCGAACCCAGTACCAGCAGATCCTTGGAGCTGAGGGACACGTCACTACTCTGGCAAAGAATCAGGGATTCGAACCCAGTACCAGCAGATCCTTGGAGCTGAGGGTTACAACTCACTACTCTGGCAAAGAATCGGGGATTCGAACCCAGTACCAGCAGATCCTTGGAGCTGAGGGACACGTCACTACTCTGGCAAAGAATCGGGGATTCGAACCCAGTACCAGCAGATCCTTGGAGCTAAGGGACACAACTCACTACTCTAGCTGGCAAAGAATCAGGGATTCGAACCCAGTACCAGCAGATCCTTGGAGCTGAGGGTTACAACTCACTACTCTGGCAAAGAATCGGGGATTCGAACCCAGTACCAGCAGATCCTTGGAGCTGAGGGTTACAACTCACTACTCTGCCCAGGACCACTGGGCCACCTGATCTCCCTATTGAGTGTGAGTGATGTTTTACACCACAGTCAGCAATATTCCAGCTATATCAGAGTGGCCTGTAACAATGAAGTCTGGGCCAAGCAAACCAGGTTCCACCAATGCTGACACACAATCAGCCAAGACACATCATCGTGATTTTAGTTAGCTCCGACAACAAGCCTGAATTACTCGTGACCAATTTTTCCCTTGAAATACAATGGACTTTTGAAGAGAGTGTGGCTATTATAACATAGGATGTACTGTACTACATAATGCAGATGCTGTTTATATAACACACAGTATGATAGATAGATTGAGGGTGAATATGATATTCATGCTTTTGGGAATTCAAAACATTTTCATTACACAGATACAAAATATATAGTCAAAGTTCGAAACAAAAACACAACACAAAATGCTCAAATATGTCAAACCAAAAAAAAAGGCCTAAAGACTAAGGCACAAGATTCAACTAAAAAAAATTGATATGGGTGAATATATAATCAATGTGAACAAGTTGCTAATGAGGAACCAGAAGCACATTCAGGATTAGTGGAAATGAGAGCTTCAACAGTCAAGCTTACCATCGCCTCCGTGGACTGAAAATAAGCAGAATTTTGTGTAGCATGAACAAGACTGGTGATTTTGTCAACAATAAAAAAACTCTGATCAAATTTCACATAATAATTTCCTATTAGATTTCCTCTTGCTGCACCCATTCTTCCGGACTTACCAGAAATAGACAACTTTGAACAGTTCCATTTAATTCAGTTTTGGAGTGTTCCGTATATAAGAGTTCTCCCTGACATATCAAACAACACTGTAATACTCCTTCTCTTGAGGTCACACTGAGTCATATTGCTCAACCAAGTATTTCAAAGACTTTTTTCTTTTTCTTTTTTTTTGTAATCTGAATGAGACTCACACATGTTTATTATTCTATGGACTAATGGTTTTGGTTTGAAAGTTGTATTGAAAGTAGTATCAAATTCCTTTCATTTCATAATTCTATAAGGTTCTACATCAAACATATACCGATATGCACCAAATGTATGAGTTGTCTGTTGAATAGACCTTCTTACGGAAATCTAATAATATATTTCAAGATATTCACACCAAGGCAACAAAATGTCATTGGAAAAATGTCACGACTGCATTAAGCTCAATGTTTAATTTATACCAGATCTTTTTACATCCAAGATCATGCAACTATCAAGAGATAAGCCAGAAACAAATTTACACTTAAAAAAACCAAGACAAGCTTGCAAATCTTTCTACAGACGAAGAAATGAAAAAGCAAAATGTCACTGTTCTAACATGCAGGGTCAAGTCAAATTGGGGGAATAGTCGGAAGAAAAAAAAATAGTCATAGAAGCAGTTAGTTTTTCACAAGTTGAAATAATTATATCAACATTTTTTTGCGAAAGTGGTGGTATACTATATCACAAATTTTAAAAGTGTATTTATGTCACATATCATTATACCCAAAAACATATAAAACAGCTCTTTAAGAAAGTGAAGAATACTCTCTGACATTATGGACTCAGTTAGTACATGATACCTTGAACCAAACAATATATATATTCTTCCTTGTTTCATGAATTTACCTCTCAGAGCAAGAGTAAAAAAATTATAGTTGCCAATGTTTTTATATCAAAACTCCATTTCTTTGTATTTCTTGAGAAACTTAGTTCAGACTTCTTTTCACAAGATCAAAATCAATCTTCATTTGTACAAATGTTAAACTTTTAGTGGCGTTTTTATCATTATTTGGGCTAGATTTATCACAATATATTTTCATCACATTTCACAATTATTAGCCAAAATTGAAATTTATTCCTAACATTCTACAAATCAAATCAGAATCTATGACAGACATTGATTTTCATCCTCATTAAATACCAGCCACTCTCCATTTTTTCAAACTGGGTTTCTTGTGGCATGCCTAATCTAACAGGAAGCTTGTCAACAGGACATGATCCATAGGAAAGAAAGGGCAATATGGAAATTATCATATAAGAATAATACTGACATCCTCATACATATAGCAGTCATCAAGGACAAAAGAGTGTGCAATATATTCGTCAGTATCCATGGCAACCTGAACATTTTATTCCACAAACTAGAGCACAGACATATGTTGCCAATTCCTCAACATGGCCTCTGAATGTCTGTATGTCCCAACAAGATGCAAATCAATCCAGTTTCCTGCTCTTCTCTTCAAATACAGCCATCAAGACCCCAACAGATGTATATCAATAACTAGCTTAACAATCAGATTGTCTCATCAACTAGACCCCCATCCTGCTTCTGTAGCATTTTACTCATAACAATACCCCTACATTTTCAGTCTTTCCTACTGGGGTAATTCTACCATGGGCCTCATACCATATCATTTACTTTTCAGAAGAGCCCTATGTTTTGAGGTGAGGTGAGGTGAAATTGGGTTTAACGTCGCATCCAAGATTATTGCACTTATATAGCGACGTGCATGCACGTGTGTGTGCGTGCCTGTCCTTGTACTAGTCTGGACTGATGCCGATTTATAGTGCTAGCACACTGAGATACCATGCCGCAGTTTAACATGAATACCCCACTCAGACACAGTATACTGACTTCGAGTCGACCAGTCCTTGTTTTAGCCCCTTAATGCCGAGCGCCAGACAGGGTAACAACAAGTACCATCTTTTAACGTCTTTCGGTAGGACGCGGCCGGGGATCGAACCCCGGACCTTCCGCTCTCCGGGCGGACGCTCTACCACTAGACCACGGAGGCGGTTAACATGCTATTTGAGACCCCTCACTTGTTTGTCGTAATCATTTTGGTCAATCTCAGCAAGTTTGGACAATCTACAGATAGTGAGTGGGTGAGGTTTTATGCCGCCGTTAGCTATATTCCAGCAATGTCACAGAGGGTTTGCCTCACAACTATTATATATTGGCAGTGAAGAGGACATTTGTTGAAAAACCTAAAGATTTGATAGTGTGTTACAGCCCAAACAGGAAGTTATGGCTGTGATGTAATAGAGGTAAGTTATTCAAAGGAATGATGGGCTTCTCACATTGTACCCACATGGGGAGTCAAACCCAGACCCACAGTGTGACTACAAACGCTTTACCCACTTAACTACACTACCGCAGAAAAGGAAGTTTATACTGACTTTGGGATTAAATTAACTATTGCAATACAGTACAAGTCCCACTAATGTGACGGACGACCTGGGGATATCCCTGTACCTTATATGTTTATTTATTGCTAAGAATTCTTTCACTGGTGGTGGCCCTCCTCATTTAATGGCTGAAAACTATAGGAAATGTGTTCACTTAGGCTGTAAGACTCAATATCACATTTGCTATAAGGAAATGAAAATATTATCACAATTTAAAATAAAGACGCTGATGCTGATTTTTGGTCTGTATAACATGGAAAATGTGTCACTGGAAGAAAAAAACATGCATAACATAAATGTGTATTGAAGACATGAAGTGGAACTGCATGATTCATGATAAATATCCCCACAGGTACACCATCGTACAGCCCAACACACACATGCATATGCAAACACAAGCTTAAACATACACATACATGAAGCATCACATCAAACAATACATTCTGTACAATGTTAGGTTAGACGTTAGCATTGGGTAAACATCCTATATTAAAATAAACATATTTAAGGACATTTGGAATATTAATCTACAAAGCTGGTGTTTGTTCAGTTAAAGAGTGCATTAGAAACGTGGAGACGATTATTCTGATGTGTATGTTTTAAAAACCAAACACACATTGTTCTTGTCATCAATGCCAAAAAAATGATTTCTTGTTTCCATATCAACATCAAAGCGGGGCAGTATTTTCTCTTATGAGGAAAAGTTTATATTTCTAAATTCATACTTATGTGTTTACCTTTCTATATTAGGTCCCAAATTAACATATGTCCACTGGTCTATGACTAGAGTTGAGGGAGAACTAAGGATATTTCCTTGTGGACATGCAACCGCTTTTATCATTAGGGAAATTGTTACTCTCTACAAGATCATAAATTTTTTTCAAGCATTAAATATAGAAATAATTAATTACATTGGGCTAAAAAAGATTTCTGCTCATGTTCAGCAAAAGGGAAAAAAATTGTAACATAAATCAATAATATCTGATCTTTGATATTGTATATTATATAAACATCTACTGTGAGAGAAAATGATCATCCCAATCTTTCAACTGTTTCCATAAGACTACATGAAAAAATATTGTGTTTTCACTTTGGAAGTGGAAAAAAGAAAGGAAAAAAGAGAACAAATTATTAATTTGGTATGGCTTAATTAATAAAAGTTAGTATCAAGGAATTGAGGAACATATTTAGATTAAATATTGGTTTTGGAGAAGAATAACTGAAGATGTTAGCTGGCGCTAAAACATTTGAATTAGTCACAGAAACATTTGCAATATCTTCAAATTCACAGGAGATATGAGGTAACATTGTCTTAATGAACGGGTCAGAAAAATGAAACGATAATGTTATTGAATCTAAGTTTGAACATTATTAGCGATAACTTGGTGTCATATGAAACCAAAAGAAATATTCTCCAAACAATCAGCAGTTATCAAAGTGCATATCAATTTCTCACCTAACCAAATTCCTTTCTTCCCCAAAGACAAAATAAGCCAAAGAAATACAAAATGTGATACTAAATCAACTTCACATTAACCCAAATCCTACACAATTTCAAAAATTTAATTAAATTACCCACCACTTAGCTTTTTCTCGCCAAGATTTTAGAGCTCCCAGGACGGAGTAAATTCGATCATGACACAAAAGTGGCATTCCTACATTTATCCTTCATCTCCTTGTACACATCTCCCCATGACAGTGTTATAGTTTCTCAACAAGCACAAGCAGCCAGTCACCACACAGCAGCTCTGGCTGAAGGAAGACCTGTGGAGGACTTCTACTCCCTTCCCTCAACCAGCGCGGCAAAGCCTTCCCGAACCTGCTCGCCTGTGCAGGACAACAATCCGGCCTACAGTGTCTACAGAGAGATTACGGCACTTCTATCATTCATGCAATGTGGTTTGAATTTGAGTTAATTTAGGACAAATATGTCAAAGCAACTCCAACATTAACTTTGGGTTAGTAGTATGACCGAAGATTAATTAAGCTTCTGACAGCCAGGCTTTACCTTACGTAAAACAGCATCTCCAAACATAGCATGGCTTGGTCGCTTAGGGACAGGTTGGATCTGTTTTGTATTGTGTTGAATGAATTGTATTGTGTGGAATGAAGTGTATAGTGTGGAACACTGTCCTGGTCCAAAAACAACATCTTTGGATTTATGACCAATTTTTTAGGGTAAAATTTTCACTTGACAGAATATTGCCTGGAAAACGGTGCTTCAAAATATTTTCAAATTATCAATATGTGTTGTCTAAATAAAGTTCTGTGTTGTCATTAGAGATCAGAGTACACTTGCCTAAAGCAATCTAAGAGTTACGACTATTGTAAGCCTATGTTAAAGAATGGGAGTTACGATCATCTTAGCGCTAAGATCACTTTGTGCAAGTGGGCCAAGATGTGATCAGAACGTAACAGTTATCTAATAAATGCAGAAAGAATGTCATTAATTTAGAATGTGGAACTATATTCTGGCATGTATAATGTGATTCTTCCATCACGCTCCAAACAATACTGTCCAGGTGTATCCTGTGATGCTAGAGACTGGGTGTGCACATGTGCGACATGTTAGGAGTGTACCATCCCGGAGTTGTGGTGCTGGTGGTGTGCAACATGTCAGGGTGTTCCAACTGGAGTTGTGGTGCTGGTGGTCGAGTGGTGTTAGAGATAATGTGTAACCATGTGCAACATGTCAGGGTGTTCCAACTGGAGTTGTGGTGCTGGTGGTGTGCAACATGTCAGGGTGTTCCAACTGGAGTTGTGGTGCTGGTGGTGTGCAACATGTCAGGGTGTTCCAACTGGAGTTGTGGTGCTGGTGGTCGAGTGGTGTTAGAGATAATGTGTAACCATGTGCAACATGTCAGGGTGTTCCAACTGGAGTTGTGGTGCTGGTGGTGTGCAACATGTCAGGGTGTTCCAACTGGAGTTGTGGTGCTGGTGGTCGAGTGGTGTTAGAGATAATGTGTAACCATGTGCAACATGTCAGGGTGTTCCAACTGGAGTTGTGGTGCTGGTGGTGTGCAACATTTCAGGGTGTTCCAACTGGAGTTGTGGTGCTGGTGGTCGAGTGGTGTTAGAGATAATGTGTAACCATGTGCAACATGTCAGGGTGTTCCAACTGGAGTTGTGGTGCTGGTGGTGTGCAACATTTCAGGGTGTTCCAACTGGAGTTGTGGTGCTGGTGGTCGAGTGGTGTTAGAGATAATGTGTAACCATGTGCAACATGTCTGGGTGTTCCAACTGGAGTTGTGGTGCTGGTGGTGTGCAACATTTCAGGGTGTTCCAACTGGAGTTGTGGTGCTGGTGGTCGAGTGGTGTTAGAGATAATGTGTAGCCATGTGCAACATGTCAGGGTGTTCCAACTGGAGTTGTGGTGCTGGTGGTCGAGTGGTGTTAGAGATAATGTGTAACCATGTGCAACATGTCAGGGTGTTCCAACTGGAGTTGTGGTGCTGGTGGTCGAGTGGTGTTAGAGATAATGTGTAACCATGTGCAACATGTCAGGGTGTTCCAACTGGAGTTGTGGTGCTGGTGGTCGAGTGGTGTTAGAGATAATGTGTAACCATGTGCAACATGTCAGGGTGTTCCAACTGGAGTTGTGGTGCTGGTGGTCGAGTGGTGTTAGAGATAATGTGTAACCATGTGCAACATGTCTGGGTGTTCCAACTGGAGTTGTAGTGCTGGTGGTCGAGTGGTGTTAGAGATAATGTGTAACCATGTGCAACATGTCAGGGTGTTCCAACTGGAGTTGTGATGCTGGTGGTCGAGTGGTGTTAGAGATAATGTGTAACCATGTGCAACATGTCTGGGTGTTCCAACTGGAGTTGTGGTGCTGGTGGTCGAGTGGTGTTAGAGATAATGTGTAACCATGTGCAACATGTCAGGGTGTTCCAACTGGAGTTGTGGTGCTGGTGGTCGAGTGGTGTTAGAGATAATGTGAGGTGAGGTGAAATTGGGTTTAAGTCGCGTCCAAGATTATTGCACTTATATAGCGACGTGCATGCACGTGTATGTGTGTGTGTGGCTGCTTGTACTAGTCCGGACTGATGCCGATTTATAGTGCTAGCTCACTGAGATACCATGCCGCAGTTTAACATGAATACCCCACTCAGACACAGTATACTGACTCCGAGCCGACCAGTCCTTGTTTTAGCCCCTTAATGCCGAGCGCCAGACAGGGTAACAACAAGTACAATCTTTTTAACGTCTTTTAGTATGACGCGGCCCGGGATCGAACCCTGGACCTTCCGCTCTCCGGGCGGACGCTCTACCACAAGACCACGGAGGCGGTCTAGAGATAATGTGTAACCATGTGCAACATGTCAGGGTGTTCCAACTGGAGTTGTGGTGCTGGTGGTCGAGTGGTGTTAGAGATAATGTGTAACCATGTGCAACATGTCAGGGTGTTCCAACTGGAGTTGTGGTGCTGGTGGTCGAGTGGTGTTAGAGATAATGTGTAACCATGTGCAACATGTCAGGGTGTTCCAACTGGAGTAGAGGTGCTGGTGGTCGAGTGGTGTTAGAGATAATGTGTAACCATGTGCAACATGTCAGGGTGTTCCAACTGGAGTTGTGGTGCTGGTGGTCGAGTGGTGTTAGAGATAATGTGTAACCATGTGCAACATGTCAGGGTGTTCCAACTGGAGTTGTGGTGCTGGTGGTCGAGTGGTGTTAGAGATAATGTGTAACCATGTGCAACATGTCTGGGTGTTCCAACTGGAGTTGTGGTGCTGGTGGTCGAGTGGTGTTAGAGATAATGTGTAACCATGTGCAACATGTCTGGGTGTTCCAACTGGAGTTGTGGTGCTGGTGGTCGAGTGGTGTTAGAGATAATGTGTAACCATGTGCAACATGTCTGGGTGTTCCAACTGGAGTTGTGGTGCTGGTGGTCGAGTGGTGTTAGAGATAATGTGTAACCATGTGCAACATGTCAGGGTGTTCCAACTGGAGTTGTGGTGCTGGTGGTCGAGTGGTGTTAGAGATAATGTGTAACCATGTGCAACATGTCAGGGTGTTCCAACTGGAGTTGTGGTGCTGGTGGTCGAGTGGTGTTAGAGATAATGTGTAACCATGTGCAACATGTCAGGGTGTTCCAACTGGAGTTGTGGTGCTGGTGGTCGAGTGGTGTTAGAGATAATGTGTAACCATGTGCAACATGTCTGGGTGTTCCAACTGGAGTTGTGATGCTGGTGGTCGAGTGGTGTTAGAGATAATGTGTAACCATGTGCAACATGTCTGGGTGTTCCAACTGGAGTTGTGGTGCTGGTGGTCGAGTGGTGTTAGAGATAATGTGTAACCATGTGCAACATGTCAGGGTGTTCCAACTGGAGTTGTGGTGCTGGTGGTCGAGTGGTGTTAGAGATAATGTGTAACCATGTGCAACATGTCAGGGTGTTCCAACTGGAGTTGTGGTGCTGGTGGTCGAGTGGTGTTAGAGATAATGTGTAACCATGTGCAACATGTCAGGGTGTTCCAACTGGAGTTGTGATGCTGGTGGTCGAGTGGTGTTAGAGATAATGTGTAACCATGTGCAACATGTCAGGGGGTTCCAACTGGAGATGTGGTGCTGGTGGTTGAGTGGTGTTAGAGATAATGTGTAACCATGTGCAACATGTCAGGGTGTTCCAACTGAGGGTGTTCCATCTGGGGTGTGTGTGAAGTTTCCCAGCCAAGCAGGCCATGCAGGGTGAGGACTACGGTGGTGTTCCAGTCATGGTTGCGGCTCACACAGGTGACAGGTCGGGTCGGCTCAGCACACTGTACAGTAAGCCCACACACAACAGTGAGAAATAAAGAAACAATACTGACACTTACGGACTCTTTCACAGCTAAGAAGCCGTGACACATCCATCGTCTGGTGGTTCCATCTCGACAGATGTAGGCGAACCCTTTTTCGTGGTTACGATCAGGAGCACAGAATGAAACCTTCTCGATTGTCTGGTCCACGATCATGCTCTGTAATAGACAAGTTACACATTTGTACAGTATCTTCCAAATTAAGCATGAACATCAAAGGATCCTTGGTATTACACTTTCGATAAAAGTAGAATATTTTTTGCGATTTAAATCATATCGTAGCAAACTGTAAGGACCCGAAGACAGCCTCTAATTTCAAACATTTTCAGTAGCATGCAGGTAGGCAACATAGTCAGTGAGTTAGTGAGTTTGATTTTACACTGCTTTTAGCAATATTCCAGCAATATCACAGTGGGGAACACCAGAAAAGGGGCTTCACACATTGTACCCATGTGGGGAAACAAACCCAGGTCTTCGGCGTGATGAGCGGACGCTTTAACCACTAGGCTACCCCACCACCCTGCAGGCAATATAAGCCATATCATCCTCCTTACAAGGGCAGGCTCTCTTTACATACAGTGCATACATAATACAAAGGATTACTTTTTTAATTGTTTGAAGACTTTGTTTTAAGCCTCAGCCATTAGGATTCCTGACATATCACATCATCTTTAACTAATCAGGTTTGAGACAGAAAAACCAGTGGTCGACAGCAAGAGAAACATCATTGTCAGGGTACATGACACACAATCAGCATGATCACACATTTTAACCGCCAAACGTCATTTTATAAGATAAACAGATATGTAAGCAGGCTCCAGTTGATAAAGTGATCTTTATATGACACATGTTGCACCTGCTATTACACTGGCTTTCAATTGTCATAATGTTGACCAGTATTACTATTTGGGATGAGTGAGTGGGTAGGGAGTTTCTCTGCTTTCATCAATATTCCAGCATCTTGAAACTTTGATTTGATTCTCTTGAACAAATTTGGGTGTCTTGATCAATGGGAACAAGCAAATGAAGTTTCAGCTTTCAAGGAGAAGATGTTTAAAACAAATGACACATAATGTTCTTGTATTTTCCAATATGGCTGTTGGCAGCCATATTTGATTTCGGATTAAGATATCTCAGAGAAAGATGAAAGGAACTACAGTCAAACACTGTTGTGTTGATGTTGACAGGACCTGCATAAATACTTTGAGTAATACGAGGTTCAACCCAACCAAAATTGATGAATAAAAAAGGACAACTGAAAGCTCAAGACAACAGTGTTTGACTATAGTTCCTTTCATCTCACTCACCAGGTTTCAGGCCCCTTTAATAATCAAAGATGGCCACCTGGTGGCCATATTGAAAATCCAACATAGAACATTACTGAACAAACCAATCCCCTTTGTAACAAACATCCGCACGAAATTGTGGCTGTTTCAATCAAGTAATTTCAGAGAAGAAGTAAGAAATGTTAAAGTTTCAGGACACCAATGATGGACTACTTGCGACAACACGAACTCAGGCCAGGTGAGCTAAATATGGCTGAATGGGACCTGTTTGAGGATGTGTGGTACATATATTTCAACTACATTGTGCCGTCACGATTATAATTAACTCTTTTAACACGCATGTACTGAGGCCTGTCTTCCTTAGAGCTCCCATGTGGTTTTGCAACATCAAACCGAGGTAATGAAGGTTTATTCTGGAAGGTCCTAATGAGTTTCTCACTTTGACGACACACATGCATGGATATTGATCACCCTCCATTAGTGGTTCCTCACAATCCTGATCACTTCAGATATTACAGAATCACATAGTTTAAATCATTTCTCCTAGCCATTAAATTTACATCAGCTAGATCTGAAACTTTCAGATATTTCTTACAGAAATGCCCAACAAAAACAGGAAATGTTTGATGAATGATTCATTCTTACAAGAACATTCAGACGTAAAGTACACAATATAAAGGACACAAAATTAGTTTTCATGGACTTCAGACACCAGAGAATTTTTCTTTTATTTTGTTTATATTTTAAGTTCAATCATCAAAGGTTAAAAATTGAGATAAGGAAGTCAATCTCTTCCGTACTGCTTTCTTTGTATCTTAGTTTCATTCAGCTCCCCCCCCCCACCCACCCCCCCCCACACACACATCCTGATCTATTTCTCTTTGCGAGCATGTTGTGAATCATTTGATTCAATATTCACAATGATTCAAGTGGAAGTCATGACACAGCTATCTCCAGGGAGAAAGCACGGGCACACCATTATGGGCTTCAACACTGGACAAAGAAAAGTTCTAAAAAGGGCTAAAACGGTTCATCATTTCAAGACAGGATCAACCCGAGACATTCCTCAGAGCATGTGAGAAGCGGCTCCGTCCCTAGTCCCAACTCCCATTGGGGTACAATAGGCAGAGCTGCCTTTATGGACCGATTTAATTATTCTATTTCTGGTGCGACTCTATCAGCCAGGAAGCAGGAGATTCCAGCACCTTACAGAATCAAGACAACTTGTTGGGATGTTTTGCAGTGGCAGAAAAGATGAGTTTGCCCCAAACCCAGTGTGAGGTTGCTTGAGAATCTATAACTTCCTGTCGCTATCTTTAACATACTTATTAATTTTTTGTCAATCATATTCTACATCAACACAAACCTTTTCTTGCTGGTTTAAAGCTTGTTTTGACATCTTAGTAATAACATAGGAACAAAACAGTTCAAAGAAATCTTCAGAACTTTTAGTCATTATCTTGAATTTCCCAACATTGCCAATCTAATAGTGTTACCATTGAGATACCATGCCACAGTTCACATGGATACAGTGTTCCCGTTTACCGGTAATTACAAGTTTTCTACTGGTAAAATTAGGCTTGGACCGGTAATTCATGTGACTGCTTGTCCCTGTGGACCAGCAAATAAAGTACTTATAAATCTTTGTTGTTGAACAAAACATCGGTGATATTCATATAATACTTCAAACAAAGTCAGCTTTTCTGTAGCCATCAGGGTTTACCCTTGTCTATCTCTAGGTTAAATATCCAGTTGTAGCGACTTTGTCTCGAAATAGTAAAAAATAAAGAGAAAATTGTAACTGAAGTTTGTGTGAATGGCGTATAGATCTAACTAAGTTACTTCAGAGATGACATCTTTGCACTGAACATGAAATTGAAAGAATTAAAACCAAATAATTTTCATATGTTTGTTTTATTTGTTGAAAGGTGGGACTGGCAAAAATTAGGGGGGACCGGCAGTTTCAAAAGCCAGCGGGAACACTGGGATACCCTACTCAGACACAGTACACTGACTCCAAGTTGACAGTCCTTGTTTTATCCCCTCAATGCTGAGCTCCAGGCAGGGTAACAACAGGTACCATGTTTTAACGTCTTTTGGTATGATACAGCAGGGAATCAAACCTCCGACCTTCTGCTCTATCCACTACACCACAGAGGTGGTCCATGGGTATTAATAAGAACTGGGTGGTCACCTGGTCGGCTGTGACATGGTGACAGACATTGTTGTTCATGCTATCAATCACTGTTTGGTCTGGACATGATTCAAATATTCACAGGCCACCATATTAGCTGTAAATGTGCCATGAAATAACATTTACTTGTCCATTCATTGCAAGAAAATTCACATAATATTCCAGTGACATCTGTACCATTCTCACACAAGTCCATTTAGCAAAGGTATTTTGCCAGACCATCATAGTGAGTAATGATTCATCATGTTGCCATGAACCCTCAATATGCCTCCAGCAATGATGCTAGCGACTCCTTATCAGCATCTGTACCGCATTACCCGCTTCATCAGCACAGGAAAACAATAACTGTCAAAGCAAGATCCATTATGCTACAAACATGCGTTTATCTTATTAATTAGAGGAACATAAATCCAGTCTTTTAGGTCACTTTTATTTTCAAAGCAATAACTTTTACAGATTTAATTTTCAAAAGCCTTGATCTACCTTGAGCTGGAATGAGATTCTGATGCTAGGAAACCTTACCCTCGAAGGCATGACACACCCCAATGATAAATTACAAATGACGTTTATACAAGATTAACAAAATTCCAATCCTATTTTGTACAAAATTTGATTAAGAGGGAGATTTAGTGTGGTTTTATGTGGTATTTAACAATCTTACAGCCATATATCTCCAAGCTTGAGAAGACAGAGTTCAGTTTGAGTGAGTGAGTGAGTGAGTGAGTGAGTGAGTGAGTGAGTGAGTGAGTTGGGTTTAACGCCACCTTTAACAGTATTCCAGTTATATCGCGGCGTGTCAGCTTAATGTAGGAGGAAAGCCCGAAGTGATGCAGGTATTAGACGTTTACCACTTCCGTGAAACCCACGAGCACGGGTATGGTGCTGACAAACCTAGAAACATAATTGGGGCGAACCGGGATTCGAACCCACAGTCATAGGTTTCTGGCGTGCCCAAGGGACGCAACTCTGCACAGCGAATCGCGGCGCCTTAGACATCTGGGCCACCCGTGTCACCGAGTGAATGAGTGAATGAGAGTGTGTGAGTGTGTTAATCACAGGGAAAACATCTTTATCATTTGAGGCAATTTCAGTTCTATTTTGTTTTGTTTGTGTCTTTGTTGTTTTATGCAGCACACAACAATATTCCAGCTATATGAACACGGACTGTAAAAAATTGTGTCTGGACCAGACAATCCAGTGATTGACATCATGGGCATCGATCGTCACAATTGGGATACGATGACATGCATCAACGAAATCAGCGAGCCTGACCGTCCGATCCCATTTTTAGCAAGCATGGGTTGCTGAAGATCTATTCTACCCTGGATCTTCACGGGTCCAATAGTGACTGAGATGTCAGCCAAGTTCTGGGAACCCCCAGCATTCCCACATGGTGCACCTAATTACACGGACTGTTTCTATGCATTATTGAGATTTATTTGTTTGTTGTTTAATGCCCCACAGTAATATTTCAGTCAAGGTGGCCTCTGAATAATCAAGTCTGGCAATTGATAATATGAGCAATGATCCACATGTTTGGACCAAGCCTGACCACCTGTTCCATTATGTTGCCTCACATGACCAGCATAGGTTGCTGGGGACCTATCCTAAACCAGAATCTCCATGGGGGATTTGTGATTTCTTAGGTGACATACTAACCTTGCTGATCTCATCCACAACCCGCAGCGCATCTCCCGAAACATACAGCACTGCCCTCTGGTACTTGCCCTTGCACTGCTGAAAGAAACAGAAATGTAGTCAATATTGACAAAATACAGTGAAACTCAGCACAAAGCGCAACATACAGGTACGGAGTCAAAAATTTAAAATTTCTTCTCATCAGGATGTCTAGGGTCAGGTTGCACTCAGTTACAGCCACAAACATGAGGCCCCAATCTGCACCGACCACCCAGTAATTATTAAGCAAGGGTAGGTCTTCCTTATGGTCACAATCCAAGAATGTGCCAGCAGCAGCACCCTTGTTGACATACAGAACCCCATATCAGGGCCCCCAACCACAAACATGGCAACAGTTTCTGACCCATCCCAGACACTTCCAGCAGCAGCACCCTTGTTGACATACAGAACCCCATATCAGGGCCCCCAACCACAAACATGGCAACAGTTTCTGACCCATCCCAGACACTTCCAGCAGCAGCACCCTTGTTGACATACAGAACCCCATATCAGGGCCCCCAACCACAAACATGGCAACAGTTTCTGACCCATCCCAGACACTTCCCCAATGGGCATTTGGCATGACGAGCCAAGCTTCAACCACCACCCTGCCGCTTCTAATTCCACACATGTACAATACTACAAAGCCTGTGGCACACAATTATGAACACAAACAAGCGGTTCTTGTGATCATCCCAAGGTTGTCCTCATCAGCAAAGATCCCCCGTATTTAGCTTGTCTGCCAACTTCGTACTTTTGTCTTCAGATTCTTATTTCTTTACGTAATTGACCTGAATCACGAGTGAGACTTGAATAGATTCTCTATTTCTACATCTGATGAAGATCTGGCAAAAAGCCAGCATAACATTTTTAGTCAAAGAAACTGTAATAAGAAAATAATTGCAAATAAAGTAGATTCTAGAAATAAAACTAACAAGTAATGAGATATCATTCTGCAACATTTTTAGTCAGAACCAGATTCATCAAAGTGCAAATATGAGAATATTTTTGGTATACCTCAGCAATCAGACCGAACATTCAGCAGGCAAGTCGAAAATGATTAGGAAATAGAGTATAAGTAGATCCCATCAATGTTATGTCCCCCTCGGGGAAACAAGCCATCCAGATGCTCCAGGTGAGGCTGGTAATCAATAATGTATCTTCATGACCTCGAAATCAGTTCCCCTGATGACTAGTTAATGACTAGTTAATGACTAGTTAATGACTAGTTAATCTGTGGCCAGTTTTAATCTGTTAACATCAGGACATGGACAATCAGTTCCGCTAGCTTCAGCCAACAGACTGCCTATCACCCACGAGTTAGGGAGATCTATGTCATGTTGCTATTAGTAGGTACTCCAGGCTTGCTCCATCCCATATGTTACATATATCTGCTGGCTATTTTCCGCAGGAGTCGGCAATATTCCAGCCCTGTCATGGCTGCCTGTAAAGAACTGAGTCTGGACCAGATGAACCAATGGTTTATATTGTGAGCAATTCCCTATGCAATCAGGGTACAATTCACCATCCTACACAAGTTAGTCATACTTTACAGCAAGCAAGGCTGCTGAGGGCCTATTCTAACCCATGTCCCCACAGGACAACTAAAACACACTCATATTCCCTGTTCTTTCTGAAAGTCACTAAGAGTCAGCGGTCGTAGGTCATATCTGAGTGAAGCCCATTTTCCAGTGTCCCCTGCCGTGATATTGCTGGAATATTGCTAAGAGAGGAGTAAAACCATACTCACTCACTCACTTACTCATACCTGAATCAGTGGTCTAAGGTACTAACTGATTCAGTGGTCCAACGCCATCTCTGAATAGGTGGTCCAAGGTCATATCTAATTCAGTGGTCCAAGCCATATTTGAATCAGCAATCCTTGGCTATACCTAGCCTCGACCAAAACTGACATACAATCACAGTACAGCTAGCTGCTTAACTTTCTAACCTTAAAAAAGGTAATTTGGATCCACAATGCATGTACTTTCAATCCAGTGATTGTGTAAAAGTTGTATTATCATACTGGCAATATGCAAGGTCTTTCAACCAGACGATGCTGGATCAGACTGCTGTCAAGAATCAGCTTATTTCGCCATTTAATGCAGCAAGGCTGAATATCGTGTGGCCACAAAGCCGCCAATTTCCATGTTGTCACTAAAGAGTGTTGGGAGATCTATCATCCATATGCAGAAAGGGGTTTACTTAAAGGTTGCTCACATAATGCATCGATTCTGTGTTGTCTGCAGACAAGTAGAATCACGCCAGAAAAACACGAGTGTGACTCACTGTGTGAGTGAATGTTGCCATACGCCATCTCAGCAATTTTTCAGCGACATCACTGCTGGCTAAATAGTCAAGTTTGGCAGGGGCAGACCAGGTGTTAACAGGACATGAGATATGATCCACATCACCAGGGTAAGATTGTGACAAACCATTTCGAGAGTCTAATGGTAACAGTAACAGCAGATGTCCACATCAGAAGAAACCCATGGTAGCTGAACAAGGATAATATTGGGACTAATCTGGGACTCAAATCCACAACTGACTGACAGACTGACAGACTGACAGCCAAGGAATGTAGAGAATTGCAAATGTGAGCATTCATTCCAGTTACCAGCTATAATGATGAACTGTTTGTTTGTTGTTTAATGCCAAACAGCAGTCTTCCAGATATATCCCTTAAATCTGTAAATAAACAATTTGGACCAAAAAATACAGTGATTGATGTTATGACTAATGTTATCAGGTTATCACTGCGCCTAACCACCCAATCCATTTCGTTGCCTCATACATCCAGCATAGGTCTGTAATACAGGGGCCTATTCTAACCCGGAATCCCTACAGAGGAGTTACGACATGCACCGAGTCACCCAGGGAACAGGTGGGTTAAATAGCACCTCATCTTCATTCATCAGTATCTGACCCAATTATAGTCACCCATGGCAAGAAGAGGTCCTATCTATCCCAAATTGAATTTCATAAAGACAAAATTAACCCTAAGCACAAAACCACACAGAAATGATAAGAAAAACTGAAATTATCACTTCCAAAACAGCTCTGGTCGGTGCTAATGCGATAGAAACTCCGGAATCCTAGTTTTTGCCCTTTCTTTGTAACATGTTATCATTCTTTAGACTGATGGCTTCTTCTCAGTTAAACAGATGAGGAAAGAGCATGTTCCCGCACATTCCCGTTGTCATCAGATCCAGCATAGTGAAGGTACCTCCAGTCGCCCAGTCTAGGTATTCCAGACTACCACATGATTAAAGAGAGCACCACAAGCTGCAAGGCGTTGCTTCATCAGGCAAAACAGGTTAGGTTAGTCCTGTAATGGCCTGTCTTGCCAATATCGTATGACCAACTCCAACCAGGCTGGGGGAATGAGGTCGTACACTGTTGTGTTTTGGTGAAATCAAAGAAGACTGCAGTCAGTAATGAGCTTTGTGGCCTGTTCCACAAGATCTGAGCCATGCAACAATCAGAAGTCTATGGTAAAGTGTCATTACTTAGTTGAGCAGGAACCTGAGTCACACAGTCCAAGGAGGATGCACTGATCCATGCCACCTGGGTGTAAAGTGATAAAAATGAATGTTGTTTAACATTTCAATCAGCACTATATCTACATCACTGTGACTCTTTCAAAAACCTAGTCTGGACCAGATGAAGATGTGGTTCATGTGAGCACCTACCCACACCTTCGAGTATGAAAACATAATTATTTGTTTTGTTTGTTTGTTTGTTTGTTGTGAGTGAGTGAGTGAGCTAGCTGGGTATTTCATTGATTTTTGTCAACAACATCACAGTTGAAGACCAAAATATGGGCTCAACACAATTTAAATTGTGGAGAATCCAATCCAGACCTTTTTCAGTATGAGTGAATGTTTTAACCACTAGAGCAGCCATTTGATTTCTGCTTGTGGTGGAGCAGATGGATGGGGATGAGGGCTCCACTGTTCAAGGGGGATGCTCTCATGTTAGCACTTGTATGCATGGGTTATACAGTGTACTGTCCTCACCCAACCAATTGACCCTATTCCAGTCAATCATCATTCATAATCAACCAATCATCAATTAGGATCCCTGTCACATGTGACACAGTGTAAACATTGTGATAAATGCGGCTGTCAAGCTTGACAGCAGTGGGAACATGCTTGAGTACTGTCTACAGATCAGGATGCGATCTACATATCCAATATCAACTACTTCATGTCAAAGCAAAGTCTGTCTCCCAGACCCTAGAGAATAAATTAAAGAAGGAGGCCAAGTCAAGAGTTGCCTAAACATTGTTCTGGGCGATATTAGGACTGTATTCTGCATTTTAAAGATATACATAATTACATTACAACTTTATTTCTGGGACTTAATGTTAGTCTGGTCAGGGCACAGCTATATATCTTCATACTTTCAAACAGATGAGGGAGTGAGTGAATCAGGATGGAATTCCTGTTTCTGCCATATATCACATAAACACAGTTGGGATTCCAGGTAGGAATTCCAGATAAGAAAACCCATGCTTCTACCTGCGAGGAAACTGCATGGATCAGTGAGGCTCAGGGACATGGTTGCGAGTCAGTGCTCATAATGTTAATCACTGGTTTGTCTGGTCCACACTTGATTCATTACAGGCCAGGAGATGTGGGGTGACACCAGAGATGGCCTTCACACACGGAAACAAACCCTGGCCTTCACTGTGAGAAGCGAACACTTGAACCACTAGGCTACCCCACCTCCCACCCACCTTCCAGATTCAGGCATTAAAACTGTAGTCTTACAACAACTGAATTCTGGTTATCAGACAGAAGTACGATTATTTATTCCCCAACGCTTTGACCTTCTTAAATCCCAGGTGATCTTAAATTAAAATACTATATGCACTCAACTTATTTAAACTCTCTAACCAAAGACCAATATTTACCAAGAATTCCCCAAAAGATGAAAGGCAAGTTCTTCTATTTCTCAGCAAGAACATAGCACCTGGATTAGATTTGATCGTTAATTCTAATAACAATTTCTTTCACATTCTTAATACTTGTTCAAGAGAACATGATCAAGTACAC